ACTATTCCTGTGCATTAATACTGAAAACCAGAAAATATTTTAAAGTAGTTTTAAAAACAGACGTTTCAGAAGACATTACATGCAGGAGATCTTTTTATTACAGATTCTAAATAGGATATATAGGACTGCAGCTGAGAGGCTTTCCATGTTCTTCTGTCTACAACTCTTTCCAGTAATACATGCCCTATTCAATCAATATATTTAATTAATCTTCAATCAAAGAAATGTAACAGATTTCACCTCAATTTCTAGTCCATTTAAACAAATTAATCTCTTCTTTTTTCTGCAGCTAGCAACTAGTAGGTGGTATTTGTTCTTCAGGACACTGATGAAGATTCTAGGAGCCACTTTGCTTCTCTGAAGTATCTGCCATTTCGTGAGTTCAACAAGCATATCTGCATTGAAATGAAAAGCAAGCTAACATGGGGAAAGTCAGAATGAAATAAATAGAGCAGGTAATTTTTCATGCTCATGTTTTGTTTTTATAACCATTTTTTGCACTCCTCCACTACATGCTTGCAAAGTAGAAATTAATGCCTTATTGTTCTTCATTGTAATGCAGAAGCACTGAGCTGTGGTTGGTTATAGCAGGAAAACTTTTATGATAATAGTTATGCCACAGCTTTAAATTCCCACTGCATCATTAAGCATCACTTCACAGGGACAGATAGTGCCCATGTTTTCTAGGACGGAGCTACAAGACATGTAAACGGCAAGCTGTGAACGTTTGTAACAGTGTAAGATGGAATCAATCCAGGGAGTTCATCTAGCTGAGATGAACAGCAATAACCTGCCTTAAAAGAAAGCAACTGCAAGCAAGACAGCTTCAAAACATCAGAGCTCCTACAAATTTCTGAAAGTAAGGCTGGTGAAGGATTCACCTTTGTAGAGGGGCAGAATGAAAGACATAAGACTATGGGATCAAAGTCTTGTAGCATGGCATGTAACAGCTGTAATGGTAGAGAACTTCACAAGGTGTCTCAGAGACATTTTTCCACATAAAACACAGCTGTAAGAAAACCTACAGCAAATCCATACAAACAGAAGAGACAATTGCTTCCTTTGGGATTTAAACAAGCCAAAAAACAGCAAAACAAAAAATTGAGAAACGTACTTCGATTACCAGATGAAGTTTCTTGCCTTCCAGTGCTTGTCATCTCCAGTTTGGCCAACATGGCTGTTGTCAAGTTCTAACAGTGACCTACAGCAACCATTAGCACCGATTAATGTAGCATGATTTCTTCAAATGCACATTTGGCATACATTTCAGTGAGCTGTAATTTTAGAGACTTTTAAGTGCTATTGTTCAGAAAGAGTCTGTGACAAATGTTGAATTTCTACCAAAAGTACATATACTATTTTCATAAATTGTGGTAAGTACTTAGAATGAAAACAATGTTGAGGAGGATATACTGTATTCTTATGTTAAAGAAGGAATGCAAGAAGGCAGCATTATAACCTATATGATTTTAACTGAATAAATATGTCTACTTCTGTTATATAATCCTGGCCCTTCACATTTCAGATTAGCAGAGTCCATTTAGATTTTGGTACTTTCTATACAGTACAGACATGTCTGCATCTAAATGTTTTATGATGTGCTCAAGAAGTAGCCTCCGTTTCTCTGACTTAACTTCCCAAAATGATGTTCGATTGCCTCTTTGCAGACTGCATGTTTCTTACCAGATGCTTTTGTACTGCCTGAGCTCTAAACCAACTTAATGTAAGCAAGCTTCATCCAAAAGCTGCACAGCTTTGCTTGCATAACACTCTAGCCAGATCTGCCTAGCAAAAAGTTGCAGCCATATGTCTACAGCCAGGGCCTGACTTTAAAATCAGACTTCTCAAATTGTATTGTGTGTAGTAGTTTTATTTTGGGGCAAATTCAAGTGACTAACTCTTATATGGTAACTGGGCAAACCATTAGGCCCTTGGTTAGTGCATCTGAAGCCATGTTAATAACATCTTATTTTAAAGCACTTTCTTAGCATCTCTCCAGCTGGTGAATAAAAAAAAAAGTATGTAAAAACAATTGTAAGAGTCCTAAGCAATCTGTACTATATCATGTACCAACTAATTCTCAACAAAAACTATTATTTACAAAACATCTTTCACCATAAGAACTGTCATAACTGCAGAAAGCTTTTCTCCAGTGTATTTTTATTAGGGATTCCTGCCATCATATCAACATACAAAACAATCAGGATGTTGACATATAGAAATGTGAAATTCACTGTACAAAGATAAGGCTCAAGTTACAGGTATATTTTCCCCTTAGTCTCCATGAAATAAAACCATTTTTAATTCTTCCCAGAGTTGTGTTTATAAATGTTAGACAAACCACAAAATAGATTTCAAGTACATAACATTTTACAATATAATCCAAGCACAGACAGAAATACAAAATATTGTACCTATAGATGCTTCATAATCCAAGTCTGTCATCCTCACCAATAATATACTAGACTGCTACTCTCTCTGAATATGCCCAACCATATCCTTCTGTGTGTATTATCTGGCCCTGGCCTTTAAGTTACAGGACTCTCACGACTTTCAGTTAAATTACTTTGATAGACCAGAGAATATCAGGAAGGAAGGGAAGAATTTTAAAAGGCCAGGCCTGAATATATGCACATGGTTAGTAAAGGCAGGCACATGTGCACACACACACACTTGCATTTAACCCTACATAAAACCTCACTGCACTGCACATTTTCTGAGATTATGTTCTCATGCAACTTAGCTATTTTCCGATAGAGTTAAATCAAGCATAACAATACTCCTACTTCTGGAGTGCTGTAATTTACAGGGACAAGACTACATTTTAGAGCATGGGATCTAACTTTTTTTTAAAAAATAATTATCAGACTTATATAGGAGCCTGTACAGAACCATGTCTCCATAGTCCAGCAGGATGCCAGGTCTCACAGTCTTCACCACTCAAAACACCTTTTCTGACACCTTTGTTTAGAAACAATGCAAGTGAATAATTTCCTGTTAAGGCCAAATGTCTACTTCAGTTCATTCTCCATTTCTATTAGGCTGAATGATTATTACCTCATGGGATAGGATCATTTAGCTGCAAGTAGCACAAGAAGAAATACACATCAAGTAACTAATCAATAATGATTCTTCTGAGGAACAGATTGGCAATGAAAAACAAAGACAAGAGAAAACAAGGTAGTTGTTTAATTTAGCATTTGTTGGTTGGGAAATGAATAGCAATCCAAAAGTTCTCAACTGAGAAAAGGAACTCCTAAGCCCTGTAACTATTTTTTCCTTTAAAAACTGGAGAAGATTAGAAGGGAAGGAGAAATCCTCTAAGGAAATTGCTGTTTTCAAACTAGACATTTGCAAAGGCTTACATGAGAAAACCAAGCAAAACCAATTCTCTGATATTGAAACTAAACGAATTTATTCAGTAGGAATTAGAGATGTGTTTAAAATGTGTTAAATGCACATCTAATAAAACAGCCTTAAATATGTCTCCAATTCATAAATGTCTAAGCAGGAGAAAGATTCTTGAGGCCAAAATCAGAGTTCCCTAGTTTAAATACAAAACACATCTGCACTAAGATTGGGGCAGGGTGAAGAATAAAAACTTTCTCCTTTCAAATACAACCTCTGTGGTACATTTGAGGGACTTGAAATGTTCTCATCATAGACAAGATTTTACTTAAGCATATTGTCTAAGCTATATTGGAATAACTTTAGATATATAAATCTGTGTTACATGAAACAGCATTAGATCATGTAACTGGGCTTGTAATAACAGGGAAAAAGGGTAAGTATGCTGCTACATGTGAAAAGAAGCATATTAGTATGCACAAAAAATATGTTGTCTTACAGATTATTAATAACGGGCATCAAAGATGAAGATGCATCTCTTAAAGTGTTTAAGCCTTTAACTGTGAGTCACTAGAATACTTTTATGTCAACTGCACAGCCTAACACTTTGCTTTTAAAAAGGAATAAATTTTTCTTCTCTATCATTTTTAAAAGTTGGTCACTCACCTACTGATTTAGCTAGGGTTTTAGCTTTTTTTTTTTTTCCCTTTTTTTTTTTTTTGCTACTTACTATTATCTTTTTCCATGTTATGTACAATAATCTACATTTAGACTGAAGACTCATTCGCTTCCCAAACGTACTTGGACTATCTTGTAGGGACTTTCTACAGCACTTATAAAGTATAAGACAACCTGACAGGTTAGAGGAAGGATCATTACGTTCAGTTCTGCTTACCTCCCCAAGCTTTACAACTGTGTCTTTCAGAAATTCTTCTGCATACTTCGTGTCCTTTCACCTCCCCCAGGCAGCCCCTACTGAACCTGAGTAAACTTTCTATGTATTTCCCAAACCACGGTCCCTCTGTATAGAGCTATATTAAACTCATTCATTCTCCAGCCAGTAGTTTAAAAACAAATCATTGCTAAAACACTAGAAACACCCTACATGCCCTTGTGCATTATTCTTACCATTTTGTACATTTAAATAACATCAGAAGTTGTCTTTTGCTAAAAATTTACCAAAATATTTTAAACACATAAAAATGTAAAAAACCAAACAAACAGAAAACCAAACCACAAACAAAAACCCAGCATAAACATTGCTTGTATAGGCATTGGTTAGAAGAGATTGCTGCACTAAGGAATATATTCAAAAAAGTTTTTCTTCCAGTGTCATTGGATTTAGTGTCATGGATTGAAAGGTTAAGGACAATGAAACTTATTGTGACCCCATCTTATATGATGTAATAGATGAGCAGGGAGTCTGAAATGCAATTAAAATAAAGCTTCTTCTTGGTTATTGAAAAGTGACTGTATCAGCCTGTAAGTAAAGGGGCAATTTAAGTATGTAAAGGGAACTTAACAACCCGAAGAGTCTGTAATGAACTGGATATGAAGACAGCTACTGACTGATGGCCCCAGGGCATTATGGAAAGCTGGCACTAACTGAAATTTTGAATATAGCCCTTAGTTGTATCATATTTATTTAAAAATTAAAAGCTGCCCAGCATGTCACGAATGAAGTTTATTTTGCAAGCCACCCACTGCCTAAGGGGGCAGTAATATTCAATATGAAACTGCTGAAACTCCGGTGTTTGACGGATTTCATGGAGAAAAGAGATTTGAAGGTCCGACTCCAAGAGAACAAGGAGAAGAGGGAACACAAACAACAACAGTCCAAGGCCTACAAGCAGAAGTCTGGAGAAACTCTTCACAAAGGCATTCACCTCTATGTTGCCCATTAGAAAGTCATAGCTCCACCTAAGTGCTCTCCGAGCTTCTTTTAGTTCTTCCTCCTCTGCAATCAAAAATGCATTTTCATCTGCTTCGAGTTCCTCAAATGAATCTGTATCATCTTTCTCATTCTCTACTCTTGGACAGGTATCAAAGAGCATGTCAATCTCATCATCAACAGGAGTGGGCAGCAAGCTGGCACTAGGATTGTATACCAGTTCTGAGATGGTTAAAGGTTCCTCTTTCATCTTCTCTTTGTGTTCAATGGCAAGATCAACATTCTCTCCAATGTCCTTAACTGGGGAGCTTGAAGTCACAGGTACTGAAATCTCATCTTCCTTTGGCAGTTGGATACCTGAAAAAATGGGATGAAAATAGTGATCCTAAATTTCTGCCTTCCTGGTAGCAAAACTCAACCTTCCAATGGTATCTACCAGAGGCTGGAAAGAAGATTCTGCAATGACTTTGTATATGGAAACCTGACCATACACAATTAGCAAAAACTGGAAAAGCTTTTTGAAAAGCTCCAGAAGAGGGCAACATCTTTTACAACACTGTAGTACACCAGATCTACTTAACTTTGTCTGATGCAGCTACTACTAATAATGATGTAATGCAAAACAGAAAACAGAACAGCTCATTGTCTACTGGCAATCAGAATTCTGATATAAATGAATACCTAGTACATATGTGAATTGGTGCTATTTGGTGTCTAATATAATAATAACAACTACAACAACAACAACTCACCTTTATTTCTTGGAGATGAATGAAGGGAAAGTGATAAGATAATGGCTGAGGTTGAGAATTTTTAATAGAGCATGATATTAAAAAGAGACAATAGATTATCATGATAAATTCACGTTAATGGTAGAGAGAATAAAAGGAAAGGAAGGTTGACATACAGTATGAGGATTAGGTATCATTGAAACGGAATGAAAATGCCTCACCTCTTAAAAAAGGTCCCTCTCCTCATGTCTCATTTTTCTTCCAGTCACGTCTCTGCTCTTTATACTCACAGTCTCTTTTCTCCCTCTCCTTTAAATTTCTCTCTCCCCCTTACAGAGGATTCTTTCTTAGCCTTACTGGCATGCTTGTTTCTTGTGACCCCACTCTCTGCCCAAGCTCTCTCCTCTTCAAAATTTACTCCCTTTTTTCCAGTCTACACTAACAGCAGTAAGTCTGCAAAAAAGTCTAGCTGTTTCACAGCTACATCAACACTGGAGTGACTGCTCTTAGTCGTCATTTGCAGGAGTGGAAGGGAGGAGAGTTGGGCACAGAGCTCAGACAAAGTGATCAGAAAACAGTTTTAAATTTGTCCCACGTCCAACACTCATTACCATCATCAGATGCCATTTATGTGCAAAAGGAATAGACCATACACAGTACAGTCTGTAAGCAACAGTAATATATAACAATACTTAGTACTTCTTGGTTTGTGATGTTAAGCACCGCTCCATTCTTTACTAAAGACTAATCCAAATACAACATATAGGTAAGGACATAGCAGGTAAAACCAATACAAGGTTACATGACTTGTCCAACAAGTAACTCAGGAAGTTCATGTCAAAGTACTATGTAAAATTCAAATTGGCCCAATTCTTTGATTTCAGCAAAAGATCTCTGTAAAAGATAGCAAACTGACATCATCAAAGATTCATTCCAGTTTTAGTGCAGTAAAGGTTAAGGTTCAGAGACTTTAAAACAATGTGGTATAAAAGAAAATGTATTATTACAAAAAAAAAAAAAGTAATCAGAAAAAGTGGTACATCTCCAGTGCTAATTATGCTAGATATATAATGGGTTTCAGTGTGAAGTAAAAGGGTCTCAGCAAGCTTTACTGAAGTTTTCTATTAAAGGATGGCAAACATATAAAAAAATTAAGCTAAACAAAAGGCCCATTGTGATCATTTTGAGATGAGTGAAATAAAGCATGGCCTGAACACGGAAGAGATTAATTACTGCTCTGTAAACATATGATACAGGACAAAAATTGAAAAGCAAAAATCCCAATCATAAAGACATCTACAATTTAGGAAGATAAACAGCTTAGATGCATTTTGAATCACAATTCTAAGCTAAAATTTTAAATAGTAACAACAATAATTGACCAAAAATTCTGCGAAGAATCTCACTTTACAATCAGAAGCCTTCTCATGTTTTTTCTTGAAAATGTGACTGATTTTTTTTTACATTATTAGTCCTAAGAACTGTAAACACCATTCACTGTACTGAAATTATTAACTTTGCTTCTGAAACCTACTTTCCTTCTATTTCTCTAGATAGCAAAAGAATATTCTTACACCATTGGCTACTGATCATTAAACTAGCAGTAGGCATAACTACATTTCAGCAACGTGGTTCACTCTAGACTTTCTCATTGTTACAAATTTTGCATTTCTTGAATGACAAGTTCTTAGAATCTCTATTTTCTTTTTTTTTTCCTTTGACATCTGTCATGACTACCGTGCTCAGAATGGGACATATCCACAAAAATCTCAGTTTCATAACTGATACCAGATTTTTGCACTATCAGGTCACTCAGCAATAAACCTGCCCTGAGCCAGATACAGGAACATTACCACATTCTGCCAGAGCCCAAAATACTCATTATTTGCAGAAAAAATTGCCAATATAAAGTTAACCTGTTAAAATTTTGTAAATTAAACTAAACAAGCAGATTAATATTTTGCGAGACAGAATCTTAGAGCTGCGTTAGGAATCTTAAAGCTTGTTACAACACTTCCACATGGAAATATCTTCCATAGGACCCTGCTGTATGCCAGAGTGCCTGACTGTTACCACAAAATCCTCCATGCGACCTCTGCAGCATTGTTAGCACATCCTCCAGACAGTCAAAAGAGTAAGTAAGGTACGTGCTAAGTTACCCCAGTTTATAGACTATCCAAAAACTGGGTGAGCGATGGCTTGTTAATATCTGGCAACTTTAAAATTATACTGAACTTAATATCAATTGAGATGAAATGCCAATAAATGCAACATAAAATATATAACATAGTACAAATATTTCTAAAAGATATAAGAAATGACAGAAAACCTGCACTTTAAACCTACTTACATTAAATCACTCCTTGAACAAGCTAGCTTGCTCCTTACCTGACAACTTTCTGAATCCTCTTCTTAGTTCATGTTTTTATGTGTCATGTTACATTCATTACAGAAAACCTCTTCACTACAGAACACCGTCCTCAGGAAGCATCCCACCCTTCAGTAGAGCACATTAGCTACTAAAATTCATTTCCCCTTTTAAGTCTTAAAAATGGCCCAGACAGATCTCTCCCCCTGTAATTTGTTCTCTTTTCCTGCTCTCTAGGAGATACACTGGCCATGCCTCTAGGTGAGGTTTCATCTTCTGGCTAAATCAACCAAAAAGACCATGTCTGCTTCCTCTCATTTCATCCCTGAGCAAGCCAGCTTTTAAAGATAACTTAGGAAAATAACTGTTTTCTAACTGGATTAGTTCTCTGATGGTTTTTCTTCCTGAACTGGCTTGTCACAAGCGCAGCACATTACCAGGGACAGAGAGAGAGCAGGAGTGCTCCTTTCACCAGCACCTAGCCAGCAGATATGCACAGAAATGAAACGTTGTCCTCAAAAAAGAAAATGCAGATGTCTCCTCATTAGCTAAATTTGATTGCCTAGCTAATAATTCATTGCCTCAACTAATCTGTGCTCTCCTATCACAGCCATTTTAGAAATTCATCACATTTCAGCATGAAACATATTTTGTGCTGGAACTTATTGTCTACACCATTCTTTGTACTAACAAATATACTTGCCACAGTCAAGAGGAGGATACAAACTGATTGAAACTAGACATAACAGGATATAGAATCACAGAATCATAGAATTGTTTAGGTTGGAAAAGAGCTTTAAGATCATCAAGTCCAACCATCAACTAACACCACCATGCCCACTAAACCATGTCCTGAAGCCCCACATGTACATGTTTTTAAACACCTCCAGGGATGGTGACTCCACCACTTCCGTACGAACACTAAGAGATGAGAACAGATTTGGGGGATCTCTCTCCAAAGCATACTGTAACAGCAGGTAATTATGGATCATCAACAATTCTCTGAGTCACTTGAGAGTTGCACTCATGATATCTTAAAACATAAATGCCAAAATTTTTAAACTCTGGAGCCCAACACTAAGCATCTGCACATATCTTTAGATACACAAGTACAACAATTTGATTTTAAAATGTGCTTTTCACTTTCTTTTAATAGGAGTAAAGGTAAGTTGAGCCACTTACTTGGGTACCTTAATATGGATTAAAGGACCTAATTTTAACCTCCCAAATTTGAGAATCCTGGCCATAGGCTTCTCTATACCTGCTTAGGTCAGTAATATATCTTCATCATGTTTCTCATCACAGAGAGGACAGCTGCAGCTACTGCAAAGAAAGGTCACCCCAATTTATGATTCTTGAGCCTTCTCTCCTTCCCCAGAGTAAATTCCAGTGTGCATAACATACATAGTGAACATAAACAAGAAAGGTCATATCAACTTTCATTAAAACTGTATTTTTTTCAAATAAGTGGCAAATTTCTGATTTTGTGATTAATCTGTAGATAGAAGGCAGTAGAGAAACCTTTTCAGATCAGTGTTTTCTGAAGAGGTTGTATTAAAATTGGAATGTGTCACACTTCCAAAGCATACATCAACTTTAAAGTCCACCATTTAGTTTGAGCGCATAACAAGAATTTTCAACTGTTTAAGTATTGTTAAAACATACTAAATCAAAGTAACTGTGTTTTACATCGGCCAAATATAAGTGTAAATAAATAAGGTTTTAATATAAAAAATTGAAAATTTAGAATGGGCATTAACTGCTGGTGTTGCAAGCTCATTTGATATTTAAAAAATAAAATATATGAAGCTGTTCTTTTTGTGCCTTCTTATTCCCTATAACACCACAATATTTACCAAGTCAAGGACTGAGGAAACAATTAGCTATTAACCATGGTCAATGTAAGCCCACAGCAAAGTTCCAGTCATGTTGCAATATACAGATAAGTATGTTGGACCACTCAGATTTTGTTAGTGTCAAAAGATACAAGTGTAACTTCATTATGGCATATATCATTTAAAATGCTTATGCAGGCACAGGAATATCCCATTAAGGCACCGAAATTCTAAATCATTCTACAGTATAATAAATATTCCAGTGACACAAATTGAAGAAAGGAGCAAGTTTTCGGATTATTTACTTTTTGGTTAGCCTTCAAGAGAGTCAGTTATCTGAAGTAATAGAACCAGGTTAAAAGAAAAAGAAATCCTCAAAATCTTCCAATGGAAAAAGAGAATATAAAAGCTAAAGCAAGCCTG